CTGCCACGGAGGAGCAGATTGTGAGTTGTGGCGAGGGCATGTGGTGTATCAAATTTGGATTTTCTTGGCACAGAATTTCTTGCCTAGCATGGGGCCCTGTTCCACGTTTGTGCACGCAGCCATGTGCAAAGCGAGGCGGTAATTTGCTGATTTATTGATTTAAAGCTCTTTTTTTTAAAAAAAACCGCCTTCCGTCCTAGGTGATCAAGGCAGTAAAAAAAAGAGAGACATCCCAAATGAAATAGGCCACCGTGCAATAATAAATAAAGCTGTCAAGGCACATCATAAAGAAAAACAAACCAGAGCCAATAAAAGCAGCCGAGCAAACGGAACATAAACAAGAACATTTTAATAACACCCAATATGAGTGTTCCTGCACATTCGTGCACCTCGGTGTCCTTGCCCCATGTGCGAACGTGGGTGAGCACGAATGGATGTTAGAATAACTCCCACTCACAACTTATTGTTGTAATGAATCCCTCCAGAACGCTTCCCTCAAAACCCGCAAGAACATAATCACTGTCTTATTGGATTACAACGAAATTTATTGAAGGCTAATATCCTGTCTCTAGCAACAGCTGGCTAGAAGCCTTCGGATGCTCACCTGCAGGGCATGAGCAATTCCCAGCTTCTTAAAAACAACAACACAACCAACAGCCACTAATCGGGTACACAGATATAGTGCCACTTTTCATGGGGGTTCTTCTTAAGAATTGTGGTTGATAGCTACTGAGCAGGGATGGGGCTTTGATGGGTGGGGAAAGGAATCCCCGGTCTCATGACTTGACCTGAAGAGGAGGGATTCCCACTGAATTAGGAGACTGGAAATTCTCTTCTCCCTTCCCCCCCCCCCAAGAAAGGTCATTACTTAGACCAGGGTTGAAGAATCGGGGGATTTCTACACACATTTGGCATTTCAAAAATTTATAAAAATGGGCATTGTCCTGTCCATTAGCCATGGTGGCTGAGTCTTCTGGGAAACAATTGGACCATCACAATTTTCTCCAGCCTTTACTTACACCAGAAGTGGGATCCACGTGGCCTGTGGCCAGCGTGGGTCACCCACGGCCATTTTTCCAGGCCTGGGACCAATTCCTGACCTCTCGCACCCACTGATGGGAAAGAGAGCCAAGAATTGGCCTCTTACATCAGACTGAAGGAAAACTAGCAACACAGATGCTCAGCCCCTGAACTGTAACTGTTTGGAATCGGCTGCTTAGAATGGCGCTTTGGGACTACAGCTCCCAGCGTTCCATATTCTGGCGGTGAGCTGCAATCCGAACAAGTAACTTTGCTGGTCTTTATTAAATCTTTATTAGAGATGCTTCTCTTTAATCCATGTGCATCGTTTCAGTGGCGGGCTGACATTTTTAGGGGCCCTGAAGCTTGAACTGTTATGGGAGCCCCTTCGCAACCGGCAGCAAAGTCTGGGTAAGACTTTAGTTTCACAACAGATCCACCTCTAGGATCTATACGGTGTCTTGTTGCCCAGAGAAGTTTGTTTGGTGAGGACTTGAATCCGGGCGTTCTCTATATGAGGGGGACCAAGCAGGCTGTCAACCCGTTGCTGCCTGTGGGCCTTGTTCCTTCACCTCTAAAAGACATGGCAACAGACCTATGCTGGAAATTATTACACATGGAAGGCTAAAAATTCTGAAATTATAACAAATGAATCCTTGCTAGCTTTTCCCACAGTCCTAGGCTAAATATGCCACCGAAGTAGCAAAATTCATCTTTCTAGCAGCAGAGTTTGGCATCTGCCAGATCCGCGAGACTCAGGCGCCACCCTGATGACACGCAGCTAGAATCGAAGGCCGCTTCTGTGATTCATTCTCTGTTTCCAACCTGGCCTTCAGTGTTTCGTGAAACCTCTCCCTTCTCCATAGAATAGGCATCGTATGCAGCTGATTGGAAATATCCCTTTGTTGGACTACAAGTCACAGCTGGTTGGGAGATGCTGGAAGCTGTCCAGAAATAAGGAGCGTTCCCACCTCTGATGGTATCACACCTACCCACTCGGGAACATCTGGCCCTCAACCAAAATCTGGCATTCTCCACGGGCCCACATGTCCCACCCGTGCAAAGATGCAAGCTTAGAATAGGGATTTTAATTTTTAAAATACAAGCAGCAGCAGAGATCACTGCCTGAAAGAAGCCTAGATTATTAAATTTAATTATATTGTATTAAATATTAAATCATAGCTATAGTTGGCATGTCACCACTCTCTCCCCAGAATGAGTCTTGTTCAAATCCTTTTGCCTGAAGAACTGGCATAAATCCACCAGGAGCATATTTTCCCCAGCGCAGAAAAAGTAGCAGGGCAAAAGCTGTACCTGGTGAATTTCTGACTTGCAAAGAGCTGTAATTCCCCCCCACCACCACCACCAGAAATGTTAACA